AACATTTCGGCAAATCTTTTCTTATCAAGCTAACTGAGTAAGCTACGGCTGCGGAAGAACTTTGCCCAAGATGGGCACAGATCCAGGCTGCCTTTCCCCCCTCACCGGTTCAGTTTCTTGTTCTACAATTTCTTGAAACCGTTACGATAAGTTTTTAATTCAGCCGCTGAGTTAGGTCCACATGAAGAACTCTTTAGGCCGCTTATACATTCTTCTTTGTGATGTACACCGAGCTATCCTTTTTGAGAAACATGGGTGAAAGAGTAGATCTGATCAAAGCTGAGTTCGGTGCCCAGATAACTTCCATAAACATGCAAAGCCCTACCAAGGATTCATCAACTGCCAAAAAGAACAAACGGAAAAACTAACAAGCTTTTCCACCAGTTTGCTTCATGGCCAATTGTGAAGCCGGGGGACCAACGACATGGTCTCTGACCAGGTATTCACAACGTTGAACTACTGGCCTTTGGGACATCGGCTGACATGTTAAGGCCCCTTGTGCCTACCATCATGTGTTGCAAGCGTGCAAACGGAACGCTTTGCTAACCCTGATAGTGTTCCTTCTGACCTTCGGGGCTTTTCGGCATATTTGTCAGCTGCAGTGCTTTGCATTGTTCGGCTGTTCACCATATTCATGCCACGTTAATTTGTTCTGTCCCTACTATCGTAGAATGTTTTCCTGTAAGGTTTGGCTACTACTGTCTATTTCTCGTTGGTTTACATTCAGTTAATTGGCGATGTGCTAGGCTGCTGTGAAACGATGGATCCTGTATTGGAGTTAAAATAAAATGTGACACTAAAAATGTGCCACTTGGAATCAATTTTCCTGCTTTTTTCTGAATTTATATATAGGTCTAATGGGTGCAGGATGTTTAGGATCTGTTAATTTTAGACAACGGTTGCAGACAACAATTAAGTCCACCACATATAATTTGCTAGGTCCAGTGCTTAATTAGGATGGAACAGAAGTTACGTGGGTCCAGTCCATCCACCCTGGACTGACTTTGAACTAGTCAGACAAGTTACTGGACGCTAGGCGGCACATACCCGTCCACCACGCCTTGAATAATTCAGAGTGGACCACAATTAGAGTCATAGTCTGCTGTTGTCTGATATCACATCATGCATTATAGAAGTTGTTAGACTCAGAATTGTTGGAACCTGCAAAGTAGTTGATGTTATTAATTTTAACTTAAAAGTTTTACAATGTAAATAACTGACTATTCTGATGTAGGCCCATGACCGGGGTATCATACAAGTCGTGACTAAGCGACAAGTCATTTAGTCGCCACGTGGAACTCTTCCTAAGATCTATTTTGTTTTCTGTTACCAAGTAGGGGAGGTGTATTGCTTGCACAAAGGCTTATGATGCAACTAACATGCACTCTAGCTAACGGTTACCACATTATTTTTGAAAACAATTCTAAACGTACTTCAAAACTTCTATCTATGTATAAAATTTGAAGAGTTTCACTCTATGGTGAGTGCACAATTCTATGTCATGGACAAGTGTGCGTGGAAGTTAGTTAGCTATCCACGTGCCATAACCATGACTTGGTTTCCATATCTTATGGGTTTCAACTGCTGCCTACCCCAACTTGTTTGGGACTGAAAACTTTGTTGTTGTTGTTGTTGTTGTAAAAATTGTAAGAATTTTCTCATTTTGTTGCTATGAACATAGAATGATTTTGAACCTGAAATTTTGTGTGTAGTTAGTGTAACCCATATATTATACTATCTAGAATTTTGTTTTGGATTTACCTGTTGAGCCTTCAGTGCATAAGGACCCATTAAACAGAGTGTAGAACAATCACTTCTGGTCTGGAAATAGATGGCTGGTTGCAGATGAAGTGCATACTAATGCCGTTTCAACATTTGATCTTTGCCTTTAATTCCTCCAACTAAAAAGATAGCAATGTGCCCTCAGGGGTTTAGTAAATACTATATGCAACCTAACATTATGCATCAGTGAGCCAACCTGACCTCTGATTTCATATAGCACTTTGCCCTTAAATGCCCTTTTACTTTTGTATATGCGGTTGCTCGAGTGCCATGTGTGCTGTGTCTGCCAACTTTCCAATACATTTGTGTATTTATGTGATTTCATATTATTCTTTCATTGCATATTCTAACTACTTATGCTGTTTAATTATTAGGTCTGGAATGTTGCCAATGTCGAGCCCTCCAGCAAATCCGGGACAGCTCACCATTTTTTATGGTGGGTCAGTATGTGTGTATGACTCAGTGCCACCAGAGAAGGTAGTATTTATGCTTCTTGCATCTATCATTTTCTTGGTTTAATTGTCGAAACTCTATGCTAACCTGTGACATTGGCATCAATAGGCTCAAGCAATCATGCTCATTGCAGCAGCAGCTGCTGCGGCCTCAAAAAGCAATGGCACCGCTGCTGTTAAGCCTCCAGCGATGTCTGCGACCAATGCGATCCAAGCCATGCTTACGCGGTCGCTCTCACTCCAGAGCACTTCTGTAGCAAATGGACAACCTCAGGCTGTTGCGGATCCGGGCTCGATTTGCAAGCTTCAGGCTGGTAAAGCCGCTAGATCTTTATTCTGAAACCAAAAAGTGGGGTGTTCGTTCTAATCAGTCTTTGTATGATCTAAAATTGTAAAAAATAATGTTACCTGCTTTGCAGATCTTCCCATCGCCAGGAGACACTCCCTTCAGCGCTTCCTGGAGAAGCGCCGTGACAGGTTAGCATGAATGAAGAGTACAAGTAGCAGTCTACGTTCTTCTGGAGCGTATTATGAGTATTATGACCCCCTTACATTTGTTGTTTTGTGTTTCCACATGCTGTGTATGGTGTACCACAGCATTTAGAAACGCATTTGTATGAGGCCAAGTCTTCAAAACCAAGTCTTGTACTTCTGTGCCCCGTTCATGATCAATCCAAATTATGATAACCGTTCTATTTTCAACCTGAATGTTCTAGGAGAAGAAGTTTGATGTATGCGAAAAAAGTGCTCCATGACTCGTGATAAAAAATCTGCATGATTCTGTTAAAATGTACTTGCAAGAGACCAAACATTTTGTGTAGTTTCGGTTGGTAATAACTACAGTAATAAACATGTAGTATGATTTGTTTATAGTCAGGTCACATTAGAGCATCATTCCATAACAAGTGATATAACATATCAGCTGGTTGAGATTATATGATTATTGAATATTGACACGAGTTATGGAAAAAAAAATAATAGTTCTCCTTAAAGCCCCTTGGTATTAGCGCAGTGCACCGAAGCCAGTCTGGGGTCATCAGCTTACAAATGACAAACCACAGAAACAGCTGTGAAACTAAAGAACATTAGGGCCCTAACAAGCTTCCCCATCAAGACTTTCACCACTCTTCAGGAGAAATACTGAACTATACTTTTAGTTAGTTTTGGTCACAGCCATTAATTCTCAGGACGACCGATCGCCTTTAAGCTAGCTTTTGTGTGGGTAGTCGAAACGGCTAAAGATAGCATCTCCATCCCTGCTTGCTCTTGTCATGTTTCATATGAAAAAGTAACGCCGTTGTCGATTGCAATGGCCAACCTTTTTTTATCCTCCTGCATCTGTAAGCTGTAATCAGTTTCACTTGTCCTTCCTTGTGCTGGCTCGAACTGACTATGGAATGATCCTATGATGCAGGGTGGTGAGCAAAGCTCCTTACGGCGCCGGGAAGCCATCCGAAGGCATGGGAGCATCTTCTGGGATGGAAGCGGTCGCGGAGGGCAAGGCCCAGTAACCCTGAAAGAAGAAAGACGGCCCTGCCCCTGATGTTTGGAAGGAAAGGGGCGTGTGTTAGCTGATGTGATGTTACACCGTAGAATCATCATCGTTCGTGACGATAATAATGATCCGACGAGAACCTCTATTGTCATTGTTCTGTTGTCATTGTGTAGTTTACTCTGTATCTGAACTCGGTTTAGTCTGCGGAACCGTACTGCTATGATGAATGTGTCGATGTAAATCGTGGCTGTCGTGCCTGTCTGACTGATACATTGTTATCGTAGTCGATAAATGATATCATCTGTGTCGTCTCTGTTTCGAATGTTCCCGGTTGGTTTGGAAATGTTGTGTTTTTGTGTGGTTTGTTGAGGATGTTGGTCGGTTTTCAGTGCAATCTGAGAGGCGGCCTCTCATCTGGTCGCGCCTTCCTGTCTTGGTTTCGGGTCTCCCCTCTTCCGGCTCCCTGCATAAACAGTATGTAAACTGAATTTTTTGATGTTCCTGGAACGTGGTAGAAGCAAACTGAATTTTCTGATGTTGCGCTTGTGCAGCAGCGAACCGATTTTGTTCACGGAGGCAACTTTCGTCAGTGTAACGGCGAGTACTGAACCTACGTAGTCTTGGGGGTGCATGGTTGCTGTTGCGTCTTGTAAACATGCTCTATTTTCTTAACTGAAAATGGGGGCCTGGAGGCTCCTTTGTGTTCGGAATCATAATGATCGATTGCTATTGACGATGGTTACAGGACGCTTATATATCTCCTGGAGAGACACGACGATCCAGAGAAGGCGTCGGTTCCAGAGAGATGCGTCAGTTGCAGAGGACACAGGCCGTTGCAAGGGGAGATTTCCCTTAATTACATAATTAATTTCAACACTTTGATCTCTACTAAAAAAACTACGTACTGTCAGTGAAAGCTACTTGGATCCGATTAAACATGTGCTGACGTAGCTTGTTTCACATTTCATGAACTAATCGTGGAGCAAAGAAAAAATAAGTGCAACACGGTCATAGAAACTTCTGCTATAAGATCACCATTCACACATGATCTTCTCAAAATTATTGATTTCCACCATCCGCCCATACATACTTCACTTAGTTCACTAGAACATCAAGTTCGAGTTCAACGACAATGTAACACGACAGTCAGTCAGTCACCAAAGGTCCGAAAACACAGAAGATATGCAGACAACTGCTTCGAAACACACAAAAAAGAAAAAGAACTCGCAAGTCTAAGTCCGGAGGTGCATATGGTAACCGCACTGACTGCATCACGCATGCGAGCTACGCATAATCCCATGGGCGTAGCCTCCGACCATGACCAAGGAAAGGAGGGACACGACGCCGGCTGGGAATATCTTTCCGGACTTCTTGAAGCGAGACCCCATGACTGACAGCAGTGCAGCCGATATACCTATGACGCAAAGCCAAGAAAACATTAGGGCATCAGCCGTCAGGAGAAGAATCTAGGTCGATGCAATTTCCAAGCAAGGATGACAAAGGACCACACAAAACATGGCCGATGAAGGAATACTACATATCACATACCTAACCCGATCGCTGACGCAAAGACGGGTCTCACTGGTAGTTGAGTGTGAACGAAGAACAGCACCAGGGCTGATATGCCTCCTGCAGCCAATGACTTCTGGCTTCCGCTCTTCATGTAACCCATTACGCCACCAGCTGCAAAAGTTAGTGGCACAATGATCAGTTGTCGTAAATGTTGCAACTTCCCAAGAACAGTCAATATTTTCAGCATATATCAGTGTACTTTCAGTTATAACGCTGTAAAAGGTTGCAGAACCTCATAGTTTCATAAGATGGTTGATGGAGCTAAAATAATGTCAGGGGTATTTAGCCCTATGCTAGTTCAACAGACATAACAAAGGTATCAGATACTAAGAAGGCATTAACACTACAGCTCTGTTATTAAAAAAAATACCCGTGTGTTGTGTAAAGCCAACCACTTCCATCTTTTCTGGCATCTGGGTGTTCATGATATCCTACTTCTTAGGAGAGATATCCTACACCGTGCTTATTTGTAAGCATTTAACTAAGGAAGTAAGCAATTAGCACTATGGACAAGAAAAGCATTCCGAGACACACAGAAAGGCATACATTTATATACATGCAATTTGCTAAGCACAGCCCAGTTCTATTTTTCGCTCTGTTAAAAGGAGAAGTTGAGTAACCAAGAGTGCTGATGAGCCTGCCTACTAGTTTATGCAATCGCCAAGTCAATTTTAACTGTTGTACCATCACATCTGTCAATTTAGCTTAACTATCAAGGACAAAAAAGATAAACAAAAGGGGGGAGGGGGGTGATGTAGTAGTCAGAAGTTCAAATGCCACAATAACCCCACTGAGTAATGAACAACCACTTGCAAAGGAATTTGACTCCGATATGCACACACATTCCCAGAGCAGGGTCTATAACAAACAACACTATAAAGGGAGAGTTAGGCGCTCAAACAATTGTGGCAAAGTACAGCCCAAGCTGCCAATATAACTGTCTCCAGAAAAAAAAAATCTAAATGCCAAAGATATCAGACACAGCTCTGTTATTATGAATAAGAAATACCCTTCTGTTGAATAAAGCCAACCACTTCTTTCTGATGTGGATCTGGATGCTCGTGATAGCCTACACTGTGCTTTGTTCGTAAGCCTTTAAGTGAGGGCACCTGACAGTCCATACTCCATACTATAAAGCCAGAAGAGCATCCTATGACACATATAAAGGAACCCAATTTCTATCTTTGCAAATTTGCTGACCAAATCCAAGTTTTGTTGTTGCTATGATTAAAGGAGGAACAGAGTAATCAAGCGAGTGTTGACGAGCCTGCTTACTGGTTTCTACGTTTGGCATGCCAATCTTAATCACTGTTTCGTCAAATAATTCCATTACCTTGATTATTATTATTTATTTATTTATAATAAGAGGGGCATCTTGGGCCCCCATTTTCATTAAGAAAATGGAGTCTTACACAATACTGGGAGCATCATCACTTACACCCCTGATTTTTTTTTCATGCGATTCAAAACTGGACAGGGTTCCATTATCAACTGATAACAGAACAGACTTACACCCCTGATATACAACCCAAAAGCAACTACAGACTAAAGACTACTACATTCCCTTGATTAGCAAGTACATAAAAGGTGTAATCTTGCCTAAAATGCAGCCAAGAAATAAGAATGGTTTAACAAACAGGGGACAATCCACTAGCCATCAGGTAAAAATGCCAGGATGACACAGTCCATTCTGCCATTTGACCTTCTACTCTTGAATCAGACTTCAGTATCAGCAGGATCACACGGACAATAATGGCTATACTGATAAAGAACAGTCGAAATTCGCATATAAATACTACACTCTACTCAAACCCAACGCATCTGCAATGTATCACTAGGAAGAATGGAAGTGGCACTACCTCCGACGAGCGCGGCGTAGGCGAGGGTGAGCTTCTGCGACATGGAGAGCCCCTCCCCCATCTTCTCCTCCTCCCCCTCGTCCCCGCCTCCCTGCGGGTTGCTTCCCCCGCCGCCTCCGCCCCCAGATCCCGCACCGTCTCCGCCTCCCGATCCGCCGCCGCCGAGCTCGGGCTCCTTGGACGCGACGGCCGCGAGGAGGCGGGCGCCGGGGGAGGCGGAGCGGAGCGAGAGGAGGGCGGGGGCTGGGGCGCGCAGGAAGAGGAGGGAGCTCTGGGAGGCGGAGATCGGGGCCGGGGAGAGGGCGAGCGGCGCGAGGAGTGGGGTCGTGGCGAGGAGGGCCATGGTTACGGGTGCTCGAGCTGGGGTTTTGTGTGGGTCAACCTGGTGGGTGGGCTGCCGGCGGTGGTGAGCTCGGTGATGTGATGCGATGGACCGGTGGGGGATTTTCCGGGGTGGGTGGCGTGTCACTGTGGGTGGGGCCTTGGGTTTTCAGGCACTTGATTTTCGATGGTTTTTGCTCGCTGTTTTCTCAACGGGGGAAATTTTGAGCTAGGGCAGGAGCACGGACGTATGAGATCTGTTCGTTTAGAAAAGGATCGACCTACACAAGGCCACCGAGCAAAAGCGATCGAAAGATATAATGGAGTTGTGTGAAAGCTAACAACGCAACACACACTACAACACAAACAAAAAAACTAGAAGAGCCCTGCTAGTAATGTCGAAGCCCGCTGCACATCGGCAGCAGAGACAGGAAAACAGAGAAGCATCAATGATTAGCCGGTAGCCAGAGAAAGTCGTGAACAACCTGAACCCAGGGACTAGGGACAAAGAACAGCTCGCTGCCAACACCGAAGAGGAACTATTTCCTCTCGCCTAGGCTCGAAGGTGCCGCACCATCGGATCGTTGGCGCTCACCCGAGAACTAGAGCGAACGCCAATCGTATCCCCATCGCAGACAAGTCGCACTACCCTCGCCACGCCGCCGGCAGACACCTCAACTGCACTGCCACCTCCCCTAAACAACCAAGAGCAAAAGGATAGCCATCAGGAGGTCGACGAAGAAGAAAGTTGCAGAGGCCCAGAGGCGAAGCAGGGGAGCACCAGGTCCCGGTCCAATGTTCGCAGAAGAAGTCCCAGACTTCTGTCGCGCTCGGCATGAGGCTATCGCTGGAAAGGGAACCCTATCCCCTTCTGTCCCGGCTCGCCGGCATAGAACCTCCGGGATACAGCCACGCCTATGAAGCCGAGGAAGCCATTCACCGGGAAAGACGAACACTTGCTGGATCTGACACCCTCCAAAGAAAAAAAATCGCAACTTGGACTCGCAGCCGCCAAACGCTCACCAACCACCTCGCCGCTCTCCCGAAGAACCAGAGACCCCAGACGGCACCTCCAAGGAGGGCACGACGCGCAAGGCGCCACCGTCGGCCAACCCGAGAATGGTTTTGGGTTTTCATCCGGGATCTGGGACGGGGGTGAAGAGGGAACCCTCAACGGCGCCTCCAGTGAGATACACGGCACACGCGAGCCACATGAATGATTCTTTTTTTGTGCTATACAGTAGAAGTATATATATACCACGCGTCGAATGGGGGCGTACATATAGCACATACCATGCATCATGAACCTCGCTCTCGTGGGGACTTTTTGGTTTCCTATATATGTGGTGCCACATCAAAGTTGTGTATTGCGTATTCAAACATCACACAAACACCTCTTTGGGCCACATGCAGACGGTGGTACGTAGTCCTATATAGGATGCTCACTTGCGTGCGATGTACGCTTCGCTTTCTGTGGGCCTGCGAGTTTGTCGTCCATCACTTTGACCCAACGTGAGAGAGGTACATTTGACGAACAAGGAGGATTAATTCTTTTAGGGCTGTTGTTCGCACACGAACACGTCACCGTGTACCCTCGACGCCGGGGGTGATGCACCGCAGCTCACGTCGAAGGAGACCCGGCCGGAAGCGCGATACGCAGGCAATCCGGCGGGTGCTTTTGTAGACCCGAAACCCCACACGCCCGGGAGGGACCCTGTCAGGGTGCTTGGCGGCTATGGGCTGCCCTAGGTCGACCTGATAGCCCCTAGGGCCTCGTGGATCGCCGCCCCTAGAAGAACGGACGAAGAACGAGGAAGAAGAAGAACAAGGGAGAGGGATAAAAAGTAGATGAACACAAAAAAGTAGTAGATTGATTTGTTCGATTGTGTGTTGTTCAATCGGCCGTCACCTTATATATATATATATATATATATATATATATATATATATATATATATATATATATATGAGGCGGCTGGACTTTCCGTACAAGAAAAGGACTCAAATCCCGTCCAAAACATCAGAAGTTAACCTAACTCGGACTACGAGGGCCGGAACTTCCGGGCTAAAATTACATCAAGTAGCCCTCTTGCACCGCTCTTGTAGGTCGCATATGGCTTCGGATCGTGATGGTCCCAAAAGCAAAGTTGTAGATCTCGCAATGAAGAAAAATTCCTTAGTTGATCACTTTTTCATCCGAGGTCATCTTGATGTCGAAATCGGCCCCACAAATCTGTAAATAATGTTAAAATTCCAGTTTCGGGGCGCACCGCGTGCAAACTTTCGGTTTAGCCCGGAACCTCCCCGGAAGTTGCCCGAAACTTCTGGGCTATAATTCTGCAGCATATTATTTTGGCTGTAACTTTTACATACGAACTCCGATTGAGATGATTATATCAAAATCGACCATTTCGACGAGATGGAGACAATTCGTGTAGAACCTTTTCTCATATGAGGCCATCTTGAGGGAGTAATCAGCCGAATAGTGTTCTGGATAGTAAATCTCAATACTTTGAACACAACTTCGGCCTTAGAGACGAGACCGGATGGCTATGGCCCAAATATCAAAGTTTCTCCTTTTGATGATACGGAACTTCCCCACTTTGAGCACTTCTCCATTTGAGGCCATCTTAATTATGTTTTTGACCATGCCAAAATCTGGTGTCAACACATGCCCCCCCTGTTTTTGGGAAAAGCTTGTGTGCCGAAAAATAACTCGCATATAGCTTGTTCTAAGGACGATGTCAATACTCCATCGGCCATTTTGCATGTTCTTAGGATGATAAGTATATATCGGCCATTGCTTGTTTGAACCTCTTGATGCAAACTTGGGTGAAAAACTTCTCAGCTTCTATAACAATCCTGTGATAAGGTTCCATAGATCAAAACCATCCTCCAAACCATATTGTTCACCCTTTCGCTAGGATTTTGCAGATAATCAAGAATGAACTTCCTCCAATCCTTACTTCGCCTGCATAAAAGTTTCATTAGTGGCCGAAGCGGTGGGCTTCGGTTCGGCCTTACCTATGTTGACAAGACCTAGCATCGGCTATTTATAGAAATGCAATACATCATGGTTAACATAGTAACCGGAGCTTGCTGTGCCAACTCTTTCGAATTGTCATGTCTAGATATATGAACAATTTTAAAGCAACCCAAGGTAAATATTGCATCTAGACATACCAAAAGATAAACTATAAGTGATTCGTCAAAACATTGATAACCCTTGGATATTTGTTGCACTACTAATAAAGAATCACCGGAAGCCTTAATATGTATAGCACCTATAGCAAGGCAAAGCTCCAATCCGAATAACAATGCATATTCGGCTTTGATCATTGTACAAAAATATTTTAAGCGGCATGAGGCTTCACAAAATAGCTCCATATGGAGATAAATAAACAACACCAACACCTTGGCCATTGCTACAAATTTAACCATCGAAAATAATCTCCATAGTACTAGAAAGACAAGGGCAATATCAATGAACATGTACCTCGTTTTTGCCCCCAATTGAACTAAGGACGATGTTAGGATACTACATCAGCCATGCTTTGACATATTCTTAGGGCGATAGATAAATATCGGCCATTAACATAAGGTCCATGTAGAATTCATTCACCAAATCATGTATAGCCGAAATAAAAAAAATGAAATAGCAATCAAATATTTCGGCCCTTTGGATTAGCAAGAAAAAATGTAGCTAATAAAATGTATAGAGATTTGGTAATACCTTCTCATGATGCAGAAAATTATGTCACTTCCATGGATAAAAATAAATCCAGGGAGGGTAATTGATCATACCTGATGATGAATTCCATGGCAAAGGCATCAATGGTATGGTTGAAGAATATGGATGATGTGCTAACCGAAAATTTTGATGGGGTGATGCAAACCTTTGGCTCAATTGTTTTTGGCTTCCATCCTTCTCTTTCTTCACTTTTGTAACACTTGTTGCAATAGAAGGTTGCACATCATTTTTATTTTGACTGCTCCTCTTGGGGACCCATGCCATGTTCTTCTTTTTCAGCTCTTGTGCACTAAGTTTTTGTAATTCCTTCTTTCGCCAATACGATAAGCTGAGTGGGCACCCCGGCTGTGATTTTGTTTGAAGCAATGGCAATTCTTGTTTTACCTTGTGCACTCTCAACTTCTTTTCTTCAGATTTGGCACTTTGACTCTCGATAATTGGTTGCTTCGTCTCATTGCCTTTAGTAGCCAATGTCAACACTTTAATTGGCTTTTTTTCATTTGAGATCAAATATGAAGTTGCACTCTTATGACCATCTCTTTTAATACGGTAAACTTGCTTGACCACCTCTTTCTTCTTTCTTGAGCTCTGGACCGATTCGTTATGATTGAAACGGTCTTTAACATGTGATTGTTCAAATGTTGATCTTCTCGGAGCTGCATGATATTGGTGAGATGGTCTAAAATAAGATGGAGAATGTGCACTTGTATCATACCTATCCCATGATGGATATGGATCTATATGAGCATAGAGAGGCATCCACGGCATTGGCATTGGTGGCCCAAAATAAGGACATGAATATGTTGCATTAAAATGCTCACTTTGCCAATACCGATCCTCATATTTGCGCCTTGGGCGTGATCTTGGTTTCTCTGCATGACTTGGCCGATAAGCATTCTTCTCTTCACTCTTCTTTTGATATTTATCCAATAGTTCAGCGAAGGTGATTTTTGATCTCTTACACTTGCGCTTATTTCGGCCTTTGTTTTCTTTAGTTTTGCTTTCATCGATCACTGGATTTGCTTGTTGCCCCCCAGTCCTTGGCGTCTTCATTGTAGCTTCGATGGAATTATCGCCCTCAAGATTATGTTCATTATGCTCTTCAACAACTTCTTTACTTGAAAGCTTGATCCCGTCACATGCAGCTTTTACCTTCTCTTTAAATGGATCGGCTTGAAGCAGCCAATGCAAAAACATTCTGCCATCGGGACCAATCGGAATAGACTGGTCATCTCTTGGTGTCTAAACAAATTTCAATCGTCCTTTATCAA